AAAGGCCTGTTGGTACATGGATGGGTAGGCAAACTAAGGCCTGGGGGCCGGATCTGGCCCAATGGCCTTCTAAATCCGGCCCATGGATGGTCCGGGAATCAGTGTGTTTTTACATGAGCAGAATGTGTGATTTTATTTAAAATGCATCTCTGGGTTATTTGTGGGGCCTGCCTGGTGTTTTTACATGAGCAGAATGTGTGCTTTTATTTAAAATGCATCTCTGGGTTACTTATGGGACATAGGAATTCGTTCTTTTTTTTAAAAAAAAATAGTCTGGCCCCCCACAAGGTCTGAGGGACAGTGGACCGGCCCCCTGCTGAAAAAGTTTGCTGACCCCTGGACTCCAAGGCCTTGGGAGAGACCCCGTCCACCACAGAAAACACAATGATGAGCTAGATGGACCAATTAAATTTCATCGGCAAATTTGCGTTCAAGGCAAGACGCCACCAGAAGTGCCGCGAAACAGAGAAACCGGTTTCAAGCACAGCCAAGTTATTTTCTTTGTTGTTCTGCTGTTGTCACCTCTGCTGCCTGCCATTCGGCTGATCACTCTAGGGGTGGCTTTTCCCACCGCGGCCAACATGCTGCGTCTTGAACAACAAAGCCACATGACACATCCCGAAATTCCTCCGCGAAGAACGGCCTAAGAACCAGCTTCTATTCGCTTGTTTAGGGCACAGGTTGTCTGCTTTTTTCTTTCATGATAACCACACACTAAGCACAACACAGTTTGAATAATACACACAGCCTCTAGAAATCTGGATTCAGGCATTCAAAGAAAAATTCATGCAGTGATAGAGAAGCTTCACGAGTTTTTTTTAAAAACACAACCACGTCAATATTATTTGGACCTATTTGGCTTCTGCAGAGGCTTATTACTGTTGCTACAATTCAAACACGTTATGAGGGAGGCAAAGGGAAAATGGACCAATATCGATGCTGTGGGGAAAACAGTGCTTGAACCACACAGCAAGAACCGGGACCGGCCCAACCTTGAGGCAAGGTGAGGCAATTGCCTCAGGCGGCAATATCCTGGCCTTTGGCTTAGAATCAGTTTGATTCCCTCCCCCTCTTTCTTTTTCCTTTCTCCTCCTGTGAAGAGGCTGCATGCTAATGTTTTAATGTTGTATTTTATTCTTGTTTTTAAAATTGTATTTTAATCAACTTGTTTTTATTATTGGTTGTTAGCCGCCCCGTGCGCGGTCTTGGCTGGGGAGGGCGGGGTATAAATAACATTTATTATTATTATTATTATTATTATTATTATTATTATTATTATTAAGATCCACTGGACCATAAAGAAGGCTGATCGCCGAAGAATTGATGCTTTTGAATTATGGTGCTGGAGGAGACTCTTGAGAGTCCCATGGACTGCAAGAAGATCAAACGCATCCATTCTGAAGGAAATCAGCCCTGAGTGCTCACTGGAAGGACAGATCCTGAAGCGGAGGCTCCAAGACTTTGGCCACCTCATGAGAAGAGAAGACTCCCTGGAAAAGACCCTGATGCTGGGAAAGATGGAGGGCACAAGGAGAAGGGGATGACAGAGGACGAGATGGTTGGACAGTGTTCTCGAAGCTACCAGCATGAGTTTGACCAAACTGCGGGAGGCAGTGGAAGACAGGAGTGCCTGGCGTGCTCTGGTCCATAGGGTCACGAAGAGTCAGACACAACTAAACGACTAAACAACGTTAAGATCCACAGGGGCAGCAGATCCCAATGTCAGTCTTTCTTCTCTCCCCTCCACCCTTGTTCCTGCTGTAGATCTTCCCGAGCGGAGAGGGGGGACACCATTTTGGGGTCAACACCAGGTTCCAAAATGTATTGGGCCTGCCCTGGCCAGAACCATGAATTCACATGGATTGAATAATGGAGCAGAAAACAGTTTCATGGATTCAGTCCTCTACACTGAAGAGCCCACAATGTGGCTTACATTTGCCATTACTTTGGGTACATGACATGAATTTCAGTCATTTTCTAGGCAGTTCACAAAGGCTGCAGCCCTATACATGCAATTACCTGGTAATAAGTCCCACCGAACTCAGAAGGACTTATTTCCAAGTAGATTTATGCAGAAGAGTACGCTGTAAATCAATAAGGCTTGCGTTTCTTTCCACTGCCCAGTACTTAATTTCTCTATTGATTTTTTTTTTAAAAAAAAGCATTTCTGGCAGGTGTGAAGGTTGTTTGGTAGCTGAAAGAATTTCAGCAGCACGGAAAATTTTCCTTATTCCATAAAAAGCGCTAATGAAGTCCCAGGTCGAAAGGAGAGGATTCTGGAACAAAAAGCTTCAAATGAAATTGAAGAATAAAATGGACAGGAAGTGTCTTAATATTGCCTTTGACGGCATTACCTTGCAATAGAATGCAAGCTAGCCTCTCAGACACGTAATGCCACAGGAAGTCACACAAGTACTGATGATATTTAGTAAGTGGGAGCTTATCAGTGGCTAATAAATAACAGATCCTAAAGGACTCAGGTAGAAGGTCAACAATACTCACAACCACTTTGACCCATGGCTTACGTGCCACTACAGTGTGGAGCAACAGCAATCTATTCCCACCAATTGGTATTAGTGGGCACGTTTGTTATTCATTCATCCATCCATCTAAACACATTTATTCAAAAGTTACAATACAGCTTTGTCCACTGCCATAATACCACAGAGCAATCACGCCAATCCTCAATCCCACATCACTGCCATGTTGGCTTGCCAAATAGCCTTGAAAGGAACCCAGCTACTTATCTGGTTTACTAGACGTTTTCAATTCATATATCCCCTCCACTCTGTAATGATGACGGCATTAAAATATCCCGTTCTGTGCTCAGAGATGGAAATGAGAAACGGTTCCTACCAAGGAGGACTGGCAGACAAAACAGATGGACTATGCGGAAATGGCGGAACTTACTGGAAGAAAGGGACGCGGGTGGCGCTGTGGGTTAAACCACAGAGCCTAGGACTTGCCGATCAGAAGGTCGGCGGTTTGAATCCCTGCAACGGGGTGAGCTCGCGTTGCTCGGTCCCTGCTCCTGCCAACCTAGCAGTTCGAAAGCACATCAAAGTGCAAGTAGATAAATAGGTACTGCTCCAGTGGGAAGGTAAACAGCATTTTCGTGCGCTACTCTGGTTCGCCAGAAGCGGCTTAGTCATGCTGGCCACGTGACCCGGAAGCTGTATGCCAGCTCCCTTGGCCAATAAAGCGAGATGAGTGCCACAACCCCAGAGTCGGTCATGACTGGACCTAATGGTCAGGGGTCCCTTTACCTTTAGCTTTACTGGAAGAATGAGAAACCAAGAAGAAAAAGAAGAAAAACATTATAGACTATTTGAAAAACTATTGCAAACAACTTAATTCATCAGCAGGAATCGAGCAGTGATGTGTGGTGTGTGTGTGTAGTCTAAGGAGTAATCAATAAACAGAATTAATTGGGATATGCAGTAGTAAAGGTGAAAGTATAAGAAACCACTGAGGGGGAGGAGGGAAGTCAAATCAACTTAATTAACTAACTAGATGTATTTTAGTATATGTGTATTTGTGTGATTATTGTAAAATGAAAAATAAAATCATACAAGCACGCACACACTGTTCTTCTTCAATAAAAGAGGAAAAAAGAGGCCAAACTGGAACATGTTCTACTATGCATGCCACATCACCATAAACTAAAGGAGTCCTAGTGGATGCGAGACATTCAAAAGCTTCGCTTTGAGAAGGAAAAACCCGAAAGGTGCATATATGACCTGCAACAGGACTTTGCCCTCTCTGGAAATCTTATCCACGCAATGCATCTGTCTTCTCTCCGTTGGTACAGCATACGTTATCATTCGGCGTTATGTTTCTGAAGGGCCTTGAATCCTTCCAGCAAGACATTTATTTTCATTTTCATTTTTAAAATGAATCACCATCTGATTACCATAGTCTCTGCTCCAGCATCTTGTTTCTTTGCTGTGAAAAATACCTGGCATCCTGGAAACCTCTACCTGAACAACTGAATGAGGTCACTCCTTTCTGCTTGACACACCTGTTTGGTCAATTTTAAGACCAGTAAGTAGCCTCGCGCAGTTGCCCAGTAACCACAGGGCATCTTTAATCGTTTCTGAAATTACTAATTCTGACATTGAGGAGCACCAAGCAGTTGACCACACAGCACGGTGGCCGAATCTGTGCCCACCCTGTCTAATGAGGGAGACTATTACTGCCCATTTCTTAAGGTTAATCTGGTCTGCTGCATTCTTTCTCAACTGCATCAAGAAGTTGGTCTCTTACCTTTCCCGCCCCGACCTGGCCACAGTGATCCATGCGATGGTCACCTCCAGGCTTGACTACTGTAATTCGCTCTACACTGGGCTGCCCTTGAAGCTGTTCCAGAAACTCCAGCGGGTGCAGAATGCTGCAGCGAGGCTCCTCATGGGGTCCCTGCCATGGGAGCATATTCACCCAGTGCTTTACCAGTTGCACTGGCTCCCGGTGGAGTATCGGGTCAGGTGCTCGTTTAAGGTGCTGGTTTTGACCTTTAAAGCCCTTCACGGCCTAGGACCCTCGTACCTACGGGACCGCCTCTCCTGGTATACCCCACGGAGGACCTTATGGTCCATAAATAGCAACACCCTAGAGGTCCCGGGCCATAAGGAAATTAGATTAGCCTCAACCAGAGCCAGGGCCTTTTCAACACTGGCTCCAGCCTGGTGGAACGCTCTGTCTCATGAGAACAGGGCCCTGCAGGATCTGATTTCTTTCTGCAGGGCCTGTAAGACAGAGTTGTTGCGCCTGGCCTTTGGCTTGGAGCCAATTTGATTCCCTCCCCCTCTTTCTTTTTCCTTTTTCCTCCTGTAATGAGGCTGCATTTTAATGTTGCATTTTAATCTTGTTTTTAAGTTGTATTCATTCAACTTGTTTTTATTATTGCTTGTTAGCCGCCCTGAGCCCAGCCTTGGCTGGAGAGGGCGGGGTATAAATAAATTTTTTATTATTATTATTATTGTATCCACACAGATACTCACCTGGACAGTGCAGCTCCCAAGACGAAGGACGCATATTCCTTCACCAACGGCTCCGTGCTGTTCAGTCCATTAATCAAAAGCTGGAGACCACCAATGGAAAGCAAATCTTTTGCATTGTCCACCTATAAAATAAGTTGTTCCACATTCAAGCAACGATTTGTGCATTTACACGTAAGGGTGGGTGTTGATTTTTCTATTCAGAATTTACACACCAAGAACAATGATGACGATCAAAACCTGTTCCATCCACTTAAAAAAGATTAAAGGCAAAGCAAACACCTCTTGCCTTGAATCATATGATGCCGTCTCGCTACAGGAACATCACATTCGAATTCTGAAGATACAATAATACAAGATACAAAGGGATCCAGAGTGTTGCTTTGCCGAATAACTCCTTTCATCTACTGAAAGGATCAATACCCAGCAATATCTACCACTAAGGAAAGGGTGGGAGGTGATTTTTGCCCATTCCCCTGCAACCCCTCGCACTTCTAGAGGGTCTCTCAACTAGAAGCTGTGGGGGGAGCAGGGAGCAACAAAAAAACCCACCTCTACTCTACCATTCCTCCAGCAGAAATTTCCTGTGAGCAGAGTTCCACTCAAAGGAACTCTGGACCCAATCCTGTCACAACCATCAAATACAGAAGGGATCACTGAAAACCAAAACATGATTAGCTTACTGAAAGCTTCCCCAGACAATACTCTTAACTGAAAGGAACGACGCTATCAAACAAAGATGAAAATTAATTTCTCTAGGAGACCATAGTTGGGAGCCTGAGGAGTTCTAGGTCTCTTACCAATACAAAATGTTTTATATTTTAATTTAACAGGCAGGGTTAGAGAGTCAGAAATACTGGGGGACTGGCAATAAGCATTTGTATTATTGACTAGAAACTCATCAAGCAGAACAAATGAGGTGGAAAGAGGACTTGAGATATTGATCGTAAGATGACTGAGCCAACAATGTCACACGCTACCTAAGGCTGGGCATTTTAGCCATGACAAATTCCGGCAGGCCTGTCTCAGAAGAACAGGGAGGGAGCGGTACTTTTCTGACACAGCACAGGAGAGGCCATATATGAACCACTGGGTCCAGATTGCTCAGGTTCAAGGTTGTATTCCAGCTATACAAAGTGCAAAGGAACAGAACTAAAATGATAGCTGGAGTTGAGAATTTATCATGAACCAAGAACTTGGGTCAGTTCAGCATAGGAAAGGCCGACGGTAGGCTAGCAGTCTACAAAACCTACAAGAGGAATGAATGCACAAAGGAAATTTAAGCTAGGCATGGGAAGCGGGTGGCGCTGTGGGTTAAACCACAGAGCCTAGGACTTGCCGATCAGAAGGTCGGCGGTTCGAATCCCCACGACAGGGTGAGCTCCCGTTGTTCGGTCCCTGCTCCTGCCAACCTAGCAGTTCGAAAGCACATCAAAGTGCAAGTAGATAAATAGGTACCGCTCTGGTGGGAAGGTAAACAGCGCTTCCGTGCGCTGCTCTGGTTCGCCAGAAGCGGCTTTGTCATGCTGGCCACATGACCCGGAAGCTGTACGCCGGCTCCCTCGGCCAATAAAGCGAGATGAGCGCCGCAACGCCAGAGTCGGCCACTACTGGACCTAATGGTCAGGGGTCCCTTTGCCTTTACCTATGGCCTAGGCAAGGCTACAAGAATCAACAGAACCCTCTTTTGGTTTCCCTTTTCAAATTCCTCATATATTCTGCCTAAGGCACACCAGCGAAAATTCACTTTGCATTCTGCTCTCGGGAAATTCTTGCAGCAGCACCAGCATTAACTCGTACATGTTTACCTAGATTTAAGGCCCGTAGATTTTAGTGCAATTTGCTTTTGACTAAGCGCGCTTAGGACTGCAGTCCTAAATGAACACTGCTCTGGAACACTTTCCTTTTGGGCAGACAAGGAACCCATGATTAATTTATAAAAGGATGGATGCCAAAGCTCAGAGCAGCCTAAAAGCTGTACCACGTAAGCCAAAAGCGTCTACTCGAGCCTAGGAGAATCCAGTGGCAACGTCACTTTCCACATTACTTTATGCGTCCCAGGTGATAAGCCCTGGCACTCAAAAACAAATAAATTACAACAATGAATTCTGGCACGCCCTGGCACAAATTAAAGACCCTTCATTGTTGCGTTCAAGGAAGACTTGGCATCTAAAAATGTCGCGTTCCAAATGTTTAGAATCCACTTACACAATTTCACACACGACAGTGTTTACACCCAAACGCTTACGACTGTGTTCATCTGTCTAGGTAAAATGCCTTGTGTGAAGAAGCTGGGTGCCACAATTCTGCAACATCTGGTACTGCAAGAAATCTATTTTTACGATTCCACGTTCCCGGAACATTGCACACCAGCTGCCAATGTTTATTTTAAAAAATCTTCTTACCTGATGAACGTAGTATTCGAGATCATGAAGTGCTGTTATTTTCTCCTCCAGCGTCGAAGTGGAACTGTTGAATTTGTTGATTAATTTAAACATAATTTCAAAGTCTGTTTCTAGCTGCAGGTTGAGCTCTCTGAACTCTTCCTTAAGTTTTTCAATGGGACGGAACCTTCTCCTGACATCTTCCTGATGAGCCTTGGAATCAAGGGGAAAACAAACCGAAATAGCACACACCAAAATTAAAACACCGCCAAAGTTAATTATTTTGTTTGTGTTTAGGTATATATGAGTAACCTCTGTTAATTCAGCAAAAAACAAGGGGCCATGTATAATTTTATGCATGCCGAAGATGCAACTAGATATTCTAAGTGACAAAAACAAGATGGAAGATATGTGACTGGATCTTAGGTAAAGGTAAAAGGACCCCTGACCATTAGGTCCAGTCGTGGCCGACTCTGGGGTTGCGGCGCTCATCTCGCTTCATTGGCCGAGGGAGCCGGCATACAGCTTCCGGGTCATGTGGCCAGCATGACTAAGCCGCTTCTGGCGAACCAGAGCAGCACACGGAAACGCTGTTTACCTTCCCGCCGGAGTGGTACCTATTTATCTACTTGCACTTGGACATGCTTTCAAACTGCTAGATTGACAGGAGCAGGGACCGAGCAACGGGAGCTCATCCCATCGCGGGGATTCGAACCACCGACCTTCTGATCGGCAAGTCCTAGGCTCTGTGGTTTAACCCACAGCGCCACCCGCATCCCTGACTGGATCTTATGGTTGTTTTAAACTTAAAAGCAGCTTTGGGGAGGCAGGTTGCATTAATTCTTCTGACCTCCCACTGCTTCCCATTACTCTCTCCAAAGCTGTGCTTAGACCCTGCAGTCTACACCTTGCTCACAGGAGCTGAGCTGCGGTATTGCACAAGTCTCATCTGTCGCACTGCTCACATACGAGTAGACCACGATTTAAACATTCAGCAGCACCTGCAATAGGTGATATTAAACATATGAATTACGGTAGTTTTAGGACAGGAGCCTCAAGAGAAGGAAAATGACTTTCTCCAAGTTCAAAGTCAAGCAGCTGCCAGAATGCAGTGAAAAGACAAGAAGTGTGATTTGCAAACAGCAAGCAACACTCCTCATTATTTACTAATTATGTTTTCTTTAGATTCTATTTGCGGCTCTTACAAGATAGTTAATTAAAAATGCTTAACAGATTAGGTTACCCAACAGACATCAGAAAGGGAAATTAGGTGCTCTCCTGTGAAATCTCGTCACTCACACAGAGCTCCTGGAAATCAAACCCGACAAGATGTATTTTCCCTAAAAGCCGGCTGGGACTTCCTCCAAACTTTCACGCACAAGGGGCTGGAGACTATTCCCAGTACATTTTTAACTGACAATTTCCAGCAACGTCATCTTTAACCCTAAGCATTCAGGGAATAATTGAGCTTCATATTAATGAGTATTAACGGGCCAAGGCGAAGGGGCTGCATTACAGCTTCCGAGTTTTTGCTGATTTAAGAGCCTCTTCCTAAAATGAAAAAAATATAAGGTTCAAGAGCCCCACTTAAAGAGCAAAAAAACCTTCCATGAGCCTACAGTACCTTTCGACGTCACAGCCAGGCCCTAAAGCATTGAAAAAAGATAATGAATTCCTAAGGAACCTACTCTTAATTGGCAGCCGTGGATCCTTTTGCTAATGTTTTGTAGCAAGGGAACTGAAAATTAACCTCCATTCCCTAAGGCCGGAGGGGGGATTTTTGGCATTCCCAGACGCTGCTGATCTAAAACGCCCGTCTTCCATGGCCATTGGCCATGCTGGCTGGAGCATTTGCGAGTGAGGAGTCTCAACATCTTTTTCCATGTGTGGTGGACTTTTGGGAAATGATACATAATGAATCGAAGATGATGATGAGGAAGAAGTCATTCCTCAAAAAAGCCTGAAGCATTTCTTTTGGGAATAATAGGCACAGGGGTCCTATTGGTTAAACTATTTAGGTTTGCTCCTACCACAGCCAGAATTCTGTATGCACAGAAATGGAAAGAAGTTCCATCAAAAGAGGGATGGATTTTGAAATTATTGGACAATGTGGAGATGGCAAAAATAAGAGACAAAGAAGAAAAGAATGGAGACCCTTTTTGGATTATCTGAGGAAAATATTATAGTAAAATGAAATCGCAGGTAGGACTTGAAATATAAGCAAAGGAATGAGAATGATAAAGGAATGTAATGTAGGATATATGTTTTAGAGAAATATTACATTCATGGCAGTAGATTTAAATAGAAACAGCATGGAAGTAAGGATGGGAAGTCAAAAACATTAAGGGAACATTGTATTGAAATTAAATTAGTTAAATTGATTGAGAGCTAATAAAAAAATATGAAAAAAGAGTCTCAACAACATCTGGAGGACCAGAGGTTAACCACTTCTGCTCTCGGTTGTTAAGTACCTCCCTCAGTTTATGAAGTCTAAGAGGCTGAACTGGAGGCAGCCTATCAAAATGATGAAAAAACGCAGCACCTCTTGCCCTGCAAACTGGAGTATTCCATCACTCAGGGCTGGTTTTCTGGCAAATCATGGATAATTACTAGAAAGGTTAGGATATTAGACCAAGTAAAACAATGTCAAGGGACACGGGAGGCGCTGTGGGTTAAACCACAGATCCTAGGACTTGCCAATCAGAAGGACGGCGGTTCGAATCCCCGCGACAGGGTGAGCTCCTGTTGCTCGGTCCCTGCTCCTGCCAACCTAGCAGTTTGAAAGCACGTCAAAGTGCAAGTAGATAAATAGGTACCCCTCTGGCGGGAAGGGAAACGGTGTTTCCATGCGCTGCTCTGGTTCGCCAGAAGCGACTTAGTCATGCTGGCCACATGACCCGGAAGCTGTACGCTGGCTCCCTCGGCCAATAAAGCGAGACGAGCGCTGCAACCCCAGAGTCGGTCACGACTGGACCTAACGGTAAGGGGTCCCTTTACCTTTTTAAAACAATGTCATCACTGTCTCTCTTAACACCACTTTGCCTCAAGTGCAGTGTTAGAAACTCACGATACACAAGCTAGGTGCCAAATGGCTCTTTAAACCAAGGTCACAGTTGCCAAAATGGAATATCTAGTTTATTTATTTAGTCTCAGGGTGTTGCTGTTTTGGGGCAAGGCGGCTCTAAAGTCTTATTTTTCAAATGATGGACTGGTCGTGATTGATATCAGTTAAACATCTGCACCAGTGTCCCACCGGCACCTTGGCAGGGAAGCTGTAGCTTCGATGAGGGAAATGGAAAGCTCCTGTGAGAAAGCAGAGCGTTTCCTATTGCGGTTTGCTGGAAGCTGCCCAAGTTTCTTTTCTTTTCCCCCTAAATCCTCTTTAAACTGTTCAGTTTTGTACACATTGCTTCCATCTGAAACACAGCTGGATACAGCTATAGCTTACCATCAAAGTGTTAAGTTCTCCTAGTTGGCAGCTTACGCTGTTGTAGAAATTATTGAATTTATGGAACAGAAACCAAAATGTGTGTGAGAAAATCTGAGTAAGTTAAAGCGGTGTTTGCAAGAGAACCACGGGAGAAGGGCTGAACGAACATGTAAAGGTAAAGGGACCCCTGACCATTAGGTCCAGTTGTGACCGACTCTGGGGTTGTGGCGCTCATCTCGCTTTATTGGCCGAGGGAGCCGGCCTACAGCTTCCGGGTCATGTGGCTAGCATGACTAAGCTGCTTCTGGCGAACCAGAGCAGCGCACGGAAACGCCGTTTAGCTTCCCGCCGGAGCGGTACCTATTTATCTACTTGCACTGGTGTGCTTTTGAACTGCTAGGTTGGAAGGAGCAGGGACCGAGCGACGGGAGCTCACCCCGTCACAGGGATTTGAACCGCCGACCTACTGATCGGCAAGTCCTAGGCTCTGTGGTTTAACCCACAGCGCCACCCACGTCCCAAACGATCATGTACGCGTGAGCTATTCCTACAACCGTCAAGGACAAGAGAAGGAAGGAAAGATAAGATAGTTGCTATGCCGTGGGATTAAATCAATATAAGCTAGTAGAAGAAAGCACTGTCGCCTATGGACAGTATATAAGTATATAAATGCTTCCGCTTCTTCATATTTGGTCTGCCATCCCTCAACTACTTGCTGGCTGAGGTTGAGTCGCGCTGGCCTTGCAAGAAACAGAAACGTCTTGTTTGAGTCTGGATTTTATTGGCCATCCAGGCTGAACCCACAGGGTATTGGGTTACAGAAGCCCAATATTTCCTCAATTCCACCACAATTTTCACAAAACCAGAGCCAGGTAATGCATCTAAATGCGGAAGCCAGACTTTTTCATTAAAGTGAGAAGGCCATTTGCTTCCCTCCATACCACACCTCGCTAGAAAAGAGAGACAGCTGTAAAACACCCTTGCTGCTACAAGATTTAATCTCTGCAACCAAAACAAAAAACTCTACACTTGCACTATATAAAACCCTACTCAACAGTAGAGACATCACCTTGCAACAAAGGTCCGTATAGTAAAAGCTATGGTTTTCCCAGTAGTGATGTACGGAAGTGAGAACTGGACCATAAAGAAGGCTGATCGCCGAAGAATTGATGCTTTTGAGTTATGGTGCTGGAGGAGACTCTTGAGAGTCCCATGGACTGCAAGAAGATCAAACCCATTGATTCTTAAGGAAATCAGCCCTGAGTGCTCACTGGAAGGACAGATCCTGAAGCTGAGGCTCCAATACTTTGGCAACCTCATGAGAAGAGAAGACTCCCTGGAAAAGACCCTGATGTTGGGAAAGATGGAGGGCACAAGGAGAAGGGGACGACAGAGGACGAGATGGTTGGACAGTGTTCTCGAAGCTACCAGCATGAGTTTGACCAAACTGCGGGAGGCAGTGGAAGACAGAAGTGCCTGGCATGCTCTGGTCCACGGGGTCACGAAGAGTCGGATACAACTAAACAACTAAACAACAACACCACTCAACAGGAAGAAATATGATTTAGAATATGATAGACAAAAATGGAGTGAAGCGTTAGGGGTACAGGTAACAAATGATATATGGGAGTCAAGTATAAAACAGAAATAGCCTCTATGGATGTAAGACTAAGACTTATTCAACAGAAAATAATATTCAGAGTCCACTGGACTCCAGCAAAATTATACCAGAAGAAAATAACAAGTGCAGACAACTGCAGGAGATGTTAGAGTAAAATGCGAACTTAGTACATATGATGATTAAGTGCCCGATGATAAGATCATTTTGGTGCGAGGTGAGGATATTTATAGCAAGGATTTATTTTAAAAAGGGGTGGGTGGGGGGGGGGGCGGGGGGAAGGGGGGGGAAAAAAAAGGGAAAAAACAATACAAAAAAAAAAAAGGGAAAAAATAGATAGTAAAAAAAAAAAAGATGGGGAAAAAAGGGGGGGGGAGGGGGGGCGGGGGAAAAAGGGGGGGGGGCGGGGAGGAGGGGGAGGGAAGAATACTTGAAGACACGGCATCGAGATGAGGCATTCCACCAGGTCGGGGCCAGTACTTGAAAAGGCCCGGCTCCTAGTTGAGACAACCAACCACCCTGTGACTGTGGGACATGCAAAAATGTTGACATTTGTGGACTTAAAGTCCTCCGCGGGGGGCATACAGGAGAGGCTGGGTCCCGTAGGTATGTGGGGTCCTAGGGCCGCCACTTATGCCACAGTTGGCATTGCAGACGCCTAAACCCAAGGCCACCGCCAGAAGCTCCAACAAGCTCCCTCCACACACGGAGGGGCGTAAGCCGACGTGAAAGGCCCCATGCGCCTTTGGCTGTTTAGCGCTGCAAAACCTCTGGTCCCGTTTTTGCCATTTTTGGCCACCCTTTTGCAAGTTACAGACAAAACCCATGGGGTTAGCCACAGTTATTTGTGGTGGAACTCTATGCACAACCAACCCCCTGGGTGTGATCTGGCCAACTAGCGGCTGCCAGAACAAGGAATTGGGATTAAGTGGCCGTGTCTGCAGCGCAACCTGTTTATCATGACCCTAATTAAAGTGTGGTTTCATCAAGAGGAATATTTTTCGTCCGGCTTCACAGGACACTAGAAGAGTGCCAGGAAGGTTGTATGTGTGCGGGAGAGCTCGTTCTCACCGGAGTGTGTCTTAAACTCAAGGCTGCAAAAGAAACTGTTTTACTTTTCCTCTCCTTCCTCTGTAAGAAGATTGTGGCTCAGAACTGTCTGCCTGCCTCCTCACCCTGCCCACCATTCAAAGAACGGGAAGAGCCCCACCAGACCAGGTTGGCGAACGAAGCACCAACTCCAGAAAGAAGCTTAACAGGAGAGCCACCACAACAAGACCATGGAGCTGTCAGTCCTCTGCCAGGCGCAACTGCGCATTTCGGAACGACGTATCCCTGCAACATCCACAGACTGCCACAGCATCCAACAATAATTATTGAAAATAACTACAGTGGTGCCTCGCAAGACTCAAATAAATACCGTTCCCCGCGATTCTCTTCTCGGTTTAGCGGGTTTTTTTCGTCTTGCGAAGCAAACCCATTAGCGTCTAAGCGGGAATTTTAGCGGCTATTTAGCGATTTAGGGCTTGGCTTATTTAAAGGCTAGCGGCTAAGCTGTTAAAAAGTCTTATTTAACGGCTTAGCCCTTTGTGAAAAAGGGGGGGGAAGCGGGGCATGGCGGGACTCGCAAGGCGTTTTCGTCTTGCAGAAGCAAGCCCATAGGGAAAATTCGTTCTTGCGATCCTTCCGCAACGGAAACCCCTTTGTCTTGCGGGTTTTTTCGTCTTGCGAGGGCATTCGTCTTGCGGGCACCACTGTAAACCCAAATTTACTTAATGGGTATAAAACAGTTTCTCAAATCGCGAGGAATGGGTAGCTATGCTGCTGATGGGACGTACGC